GTGGGTTCTTTCGTGGGTTATTTGTGGGTTCCTGGGTTCTTTCGTGGGTTATTTTTCATATTAAAATACCCACGTTTTAGAAACGTGGGTTATTTTTCCCAAACAATAACCCACGTTTCTAAAACGTTGGTATTTTTTCCCAAAAAATAACCCACGTTTTTCTAGGGGAGGAATTCGAAAAGGGGGATGTGCGCGTGGGTACCGGAGGGCCCAGACTGTGACGAGTGAGAGATCTGGAGCGCATATACCGGAAGAGGCTGTTTCTGTGCCCCCATCGCCGAAGCATGCCCACCTTTAATGAGCTCGTCACTATCCCATTGTGAAGCACGCCCTTCCCTAAAATTGTACGTTGGGAGGTCGCGCATGAGTCATTTCTCCTATATAGTAGTTCAAACGAAAACAACTTGGTTTCAGGCAAGACTAAATGACTCAGGTCAACGACTAACTCTCTCTTTTACCGGTACAATTACGTGCTATTTGATTCAAGGACAACTCCGATATTTCAAATCCCACATGCTTCTTCAAAAGGGCACCGATATGTAGAATGGTACTCCGATGGTTTTGCGGAAAAAATGCCCTAGAACTTTACCAAAAAAGCCGACAACTCCGACTAATAGATGAAGGAGGGAATTGCCTCAAATTTCGATTACCATGGGATAGTCGCGCAGCACCTACGGTACCTGTACGTACGGTGCAGTAAAGAGCTCTGTTTTTGCATCAGAATGACGAATGACAAATGAGAGACCCCCCAAATTCCATTTTTGTACCGTATGGTATGTAGTATGTACGTATGACATGTACTTATCTATGGGTACTTGTACTCATACCCTACCGGTAGGAACCTTCATGGATCGAGTGATGTTCGGCGAGTCTCAAAACCTCTCCGAACGAAAATTGAAATCCCATGTCAATAAAATCAATCAACGACGAGAAACAAAACCAATCAGTACCGTTCTGAAAATCGAACAAACAGCGAAGTTCTTTGTTTTCACCGAAGGCATCAATCGTTGCTTGTGCCGTACCAGGGTTCTGTGATCCGTAACGACACAGGGAGAATTGCTACTTCTCATTGTTCTTTCCGTGCTTGGTGTTGCCGAGAACAGAGCCTCCATCACATCACATCACATCACACGCTAAGGATCCACCTCGAGCCCGATCACATTCGATTCGGTGCTTCCCCTATCGATCGTTCCGTTCCGTTCCGTTCCGATCTTCCGACGACCCTTCACTCCTAGAAGAACCTTCCTTCCCGTCGCAAAATCCAGCATGTCCCTTTTTTCGGACGTGGTGCCGGGTCCCGCCGTGCCCGATCCCGTCCCCTTCGCTGGCTACCACCACGACATCGAAATCCAGAAGAGCGAGCGCATTCGGTATCCTCTCTTGCTCGAAGAGTTCACGTCGGACGGAAACGCCGAGTCCTTCGAGCAACTTCCCGCTGCCTCCACCGCCGATGCAAACACCGCGAATGCTGCTCTGGACCAAACACAAACCACAACGAACGAGTTCCTCCGGGGCTTTCCGCCGCCGTCCTCTCCCCCGGCACATCGCCACTCTCACTGCGCTCCTCGGATCCGTCGTCTTTTCTATCCCCTCCCCTGCCCGCTGACTCCGGAACCCCCGGGCATCGATCGGACCGCCGGCACCCAAGGAGACGGCATCGCCCACCACCACAGCGATTTCCAACCACCGTGGCCCGGGAGGCAGCACGCTGCCGCGGTGGTTTCGCCGTTGTCGGCCACACAGCAGGCGCACGAGGAGGGCGACCGCTGCCGACACCGGATCGAGCCGCAACGGCGGCGGTGGGAACTACAAGACGGTCGCGGCCTCGACCAAGCCAAAATCCAAGCCGAAATCGATGCCATCGTCGGCGGGGTGTCGAACGACGTGCCGTACGGAGACCGATCCTTCCGCGGGAGCAACGGCCCCCCCGGAGCGAGTGGGACGTTCGCTGGCAGCGGCGGGGCATCGGAGCTGGTCCTCGGCCGCGCCGAGCTCGATGCCGCTGCGAAGAAACTCGGGCTTTTCGCCGGCAGTGGCCCGTGCCTGCCGCTTCTCGGCGATGCCGACGGAGGGAAGGATCCGGAACCGATCCCCCGCCCCCGGTGGCACACCGGACACACCAATTTTGTTGGAAAAGACGTGCCAGGGGCTGCGGGATGCACCGCCCGGTGCGGCCGAACCCAGCAGCAGCAGCAGCGATTGGCCAGCGACCAAAGCGTGGTGGAACGACCGCTCTTTACCTACAAAAGCTGGGACGAAAGAGCGAACCGGTGGAAGCCCAAAAGAACCTTCTGGGTTCGAAAGGAAGCCGAGGCCGGCGGCAGCGGTGCTTGTGCACCCCCCCACTTCCGAATCTCGCTGTCCCGGGGCGGAACCGTCCACGTCTTTCCGAACCTGCTCGGTGCCCAGAGCGTCGGTGCGGTCAAGACGGAGTTGCTGAAGTGCGGGTTTTGGAGGAAGTATTCCATCCAGGGCGGCGACGAGCCGAGGCTGCATTTCTTGGTAAGCAACGGATGGTGGCATGTTCACTCCTTTTTTCGCATCCGTTGCTGGGTGTCTGTGATTCCTTTCCAATGTGCTCTCACGATTTCCATAAATGATCGAATCAAACACTTGTGTTCTGCTGTGCTGTGCTGTGCTGCGCTGCGCTATGCTCTGTTATTCTATGCCTTGTGGTTCGGTTCGTTTCGTGCCAGGCGCACGAAAACGCTACGGACAACTTTGAGAACGGGGCACAGCCGGGATACCGATACACGAACATTACTATGAAGGCACGGCCCTTGTCGGCTTTGCCAAATCTACAAAGAATGTCGAAGCAGCTGGCAAAGATGCGAAACATACCCTCCGAAAAATGGACCATCGGCGTCCATCCGGTCTTGTAGTGAGTATAAGGATTGGATTGAATGGATCCCACTCGATGTCGACGTACATGCTGTGCCGTAGGAACTGTTTGCGCTGTATTTGTGCTTGATTTAAAAATTGCTGCGTCGAACTCAGGAATGTTCCCGATGTGTTGCATGCCACACCACCAATTGGCTCACTTAGTCGCGACAACAGAGATTCGATGGGAGATCACGCAGACGACGACCAGGTGAGAACGAACAAGAATTCCGTGTCCATAACAACGAGACAGCATAGATTCGTCAACAAAGGAAACAGCCCCAATTTTTCTCACAGAAACCAAACCCATCCGACTTTTTTGTTTGGCAGGGGGAAACACGCATACTATGCGTTTTAGTAGATTCTCCACCAACACCAAGAAAGGTAAGATAGCGGCTCCATGCCGTGTCGTACCGGCAGTATGCATCGCCATCGCCATTTCTCTCACCCCGATGCGCACGCACGAATCAACAAATCCATGACGGAATGCAAAAAAGGTTGTCATAAAAGTTTTCGACAAGCTGACAGGTGGCAAGAGACAAAAAGACCGCGTTCACCAAGACAGAGACGAGATCGTGGAATTGCTGTTGCGACCGGGAGATGCGTACGAGATGGATGGGGTACGTTGTGTTGTGCATGCTTTCTTGATTCCTTTTGCCAGTTCGAATTGTTCTGTTTTGTTCAATCGGTGGTTTCGCACTGAATCGGAAGAACTCAATCCACCAGGTGTACCAAAGTATTCATCGGAGTCGTTCGACGAACTCAAAACCCTGGTCGCATAACATTGTATTGAATGTGTTGTTCTTTGTTTGGTAGGTCATGCAAGAGTTTTACAGCCATTGTGTCCCCAAGGACAATCTTTCCAAAGACGACGAATGCAAAGATCACAAATCGGAACACAGCCGCATTCGACGCATGTGTGTGGTCCTGCGCACGGGTCAGCAGAAAGAGTTCGAGAGGGATACCGGGGAGGCCTGCACGGATCTTGCCCCACGAAAAGCAATATCCTACTACCACGGACCTATAGCAAATCTGAAAGTGGGGTCCTCGTACACTCGGCGAGAGCTGCAGAAGATGAATGCCCACCAGGTAATTATTGCTAGCAATAGCTTTTACTCTCGTTTGGTTGAACCGAATAATCTTGAGCGGTCACTCTGATTGGAATCGCCTTCGCTGCTTTTAAAAATGAATTGTTGTGAAACACAAGCTGCTTCAACGGGGCATTAGCGGAACCATACGAGATGGTGCCGATGCCATCATCATCTCCGGTAAGAGACGCGGCCATGACAAGCTACAACACATCAAGTACGTCGCCGAATGGAGAATAGGTGCAAACGCCCTCTTCAAGAGTTTTGTCCGGGAATCGATGATTCGGGTGTTCCGTTCCCTGGCATACATCAGTTCGAACGAAGCACTCAAAACCGGAACGGGCCTCAAGCAGAGGAAGAGCACGTCGAAATTGTATCGGTACGACGGGCTTTACAAGATAGTTCGTGTGAACCCTCCGATCGGTAAGCGTTCTAGCTCCAACCATTTGCCACAACACTGTTTGTCGGCCGCTTACAAGCTGGATCACATGTTGGCTCACGATTCTCTTAACATTCTTGAATTGTTTCAAAGATCCAAAAGGGGCGTTTGAATTCTTTCTCACCCATAGCAGAATAGCTTCCAATAAAAACGGAGGTGCTGTGTCTTTTGAAAACGTTGCGAAGCGGGTAAATCGAAACCTATTCGGGGCCAAGAGGCAAAATGCAATCCACATTCCGCCGCCACCGCCACCGCCAACTCTTCTATGTGCAACCACCACCGATTCGAAGCGTTTGGAAATAAATCAAGAGCACAGCATGGTTTCCATTCCTAGTGGCATTCCTCTTAATCCGCTCTGGGCTAGAGACTATGGACCAATTGACCTGTCATGGTGAGTTTCCCATTGTGTTTTGGTGGACTACTGCTAGGTGTAAACTTTTCATATTTTAATTTCGAATCTGCCATTACTCGTACTTTGTGGTGTGCAAGTTGTGCCACACTCCTTTTATTGGAGAAGGAACTCTCCTGCATGAACGCGCTTGCGTTTCAGCTACAAAAAAACAACAACAGCATTAGCAAGAAACGAACGAGTGCTAGTTCTGATTTGATCCACGTCAGCGACGACAGATTGCAATCCGAGCCGTTCTCCAAACACGGACCCTCGATCGAGAACCACAATTATCACCGTCGCAGCCATTGTCACACGGTCTCAGCAACCTCTGCCGCTACTTTCGATCGACCTCTTTCTGTTGTCGCGGGATCAACGAACCACCCTATACAAGGAGATACGAAGTCGAAACCAACCATATATAAAAAGACTGCGAAGATTAAGACGACGGATTGGCCGGAGAACACGCGGTGGCAAGACGGAAGAAGGTTCCGAATCCGAATGTACGAGCCGATCCAATTGCGAAAAACGAAACGATCGCTTACGAGAAGAACGAGAAAGACGAAGGCGGATGCTAGAAGAACTTTTGACAATAGAAAGACGACGAGGGCGATGGTAGCAAAGGCGAAGAGACTGACCAGAAGCAGTTCGAAGAAGACTTGATAGGAACCAATTCAATGCATTCGAGTACTATAGCATTATGAAAATATCATTGTACTATACGCTACACTATTACTTTAGAAAGTTCGTAATCTCGGTTGAGATGAGTCAAGGAATGACACTGAGCGAAGAACATTGGACGTCGCCAAGTACAAATCGTGTCACACAACCTCAAGGTTGATCGAACGAACTAGATTTTAGGAGCAGTCTCCTCCACAGGATCCTCTCCTGAAGTCGTCAAAGACAAGGTATGCTCGTGCTGCTACTACTAGTAGCTAGTCGTACAACAAGTAGTAGTAGTACTAATACTAGCACAAGAAGGAAGGCATCGTGCGCAAGTATGGTGAATCTTTCTAGAGCACAATCCAATATTGGCAAAAAATTGGCAATCTGTCTTGGAAATCTAGGCTCAATTTCCTGCTGTCTGCTGGCAGTCCTCTATTCTGCCCCATACTAGATTTGGCCAATACTACTTCGAGCTTTTTGGGAATCATCCAATGGACCAGCGATGTCTAAATTCCTTTTCTTATTTCTTTGCCGCATACTACAAGCACGAACTACCAGGTACTAGCCAGTTGGAAAAGATTCCTCCATTTTGGTGGAGTCAAAACCCCCATGCATACTTATATGTGTAGAATCCTTATGTAAGGAGGAACTCAGCCATGATGTCCAAATGACCATTCAATATGATACAGCATCAGTTTTTTGTCAAACTTCTTGTTCAGGCATATATTTTTGGAGGTGAAAGAACATTCTGAGGGTTCCACGGAGTCATTTTGAGTTCTCAAAAACAGATCTGGTAGTCTGCCTGTCCAGATTGTTTTGCTCCATGCATAGCTTTTTGTTCAAATCCAACCGGTTTTTGGTGGTGTTTGGTGCAACTGCATCTGCCTGTACACCATCTGTTGTTATTGTGTGTGACACTCCTGACTGACAATACCTTCTTTGCATGATTTGTACTGAGTACAATGGGTTCTGAAAATCTTCCATAACATCTTCAAAGAAAGAGGATCTTCATCAAAAAAGACCAGCTATTTTGTGCACCTCCACTTGTTGTTGTTCTTATTCTTTCCAATCAACATTAAAAACAATCTAAAGAACTACCTCATCCCCTCTTTATCAAGCCTTTGCGTCTGTATCCAGCCTCCACACCAATAGCCTCTGTATCTAGCCTCTGTATCTAGCCTCTGTATCTAGCCTCTGTATCTAGCCTCTACATCCGTATCCAGCCTCTGTATTGATCTTCTGCATCCTCTGTATCCAGCCTCTGCATTGATCTTCTGCATCCAGCCTCTGCATCAATTTTATCCGCATCAATCTCATCCGCATTGATTGAATCCGCATGGATTGAATCCGCATGGATTATGGATTGAATCTGCATGGATTGAATCCGCATGGATTGAATCCGCATGGATTGAATCCGCATGATTGAATCCGCATGGATTGAATCCGCATGGATTATGGATTGAATCCGCATGGATTATGGATTGAATCCGCATGGATTATGGATTGAATCCCCATGGATTGAATCCGCATGGATCTTCCACATCCTCTGTATCCAGCCTCTGTATTCAGCCTCGGTATCCAGCCCATGTTGCTTCTGCATACAAAAGAGTATGGTGGGAAGTTGCTCCTAAGCCAGAAATGATCAAAAAGGATATTGAAAAAGTATTGAGGTCAATGAAAACAGTTGTGGACAACAAAGGCATAGCAGTAAGACGTCTTGGGGATTAATGACAAGGTAAGAGAAGAGTATCAAAAGTTACTAGCTCTTGATAACTACCAGGCTGAAGAATGCAACCTCCATCCAGATGCAAAAATTTGCTTGAATAAATATTCAGAGCAAGCTAGAATTAAAAAAGAATCATGATAGCATTTAACTATTTTGTTTAAATATCATTATGGTGCTTTGGATTTTCACCAGTACTACTCTCATCTTTTTACTGTTGCCTCCTTTACATCTGATTTGTTAGCAAATGAAAATTAGTATTTGGAAGCCTTGCTAGCAGTTGCTTTGGATTTTCACCAGTACTTCTCTCTTCCTTTTGATACTGGTGCCATTGATACCAATTACAGTAATCGTAGTATAAGTAATAGTGCAACCATGTGGAAAGTAGAAATAGTTTCAGATGAAGAAATAGTAGTAGTGAAGTAGTAGTAGGTTTAGTACTGAATTTACAATATGTACTAGTATCACTTTTACTGGTACTACTTCTTGTTTTCACATTGTAGTAATACTACTAGTAATATTGATATTGATAAGGATATCTTCTGCTACAGCTACTAGTGTTGCTGTTGGTATTGCTATTGGTATTGCTATTGTTATTGCTGTTGATATTGCTGTTGGTATTGATATTATTATTGCTTTTGGTATTGCTGTTGGTATTGGTACTATTTATATTGGTATTGGTCTGCTTTGGTGGCAGTGGAAGATGAAGGTGTCAGTACTGTATAATGAATCAGTATTCAATAATGACCATAACCCTAAGATATGTAATTTGTACTAATTTGTGCGTACATGTTATTACTACTAGTAGTTGGCACTGCTGACAGGAAGAAGCTGCATACTTCTTCTTGGCTACTGCTGGAATCCAAAGAAGAACATAAGTACTCAACAGTACTGAAGGACCAGTAATGCTGTTGAGATCATCACATTGGTCCTGTGTCCGTTCTTCACAGGTGCTTGCCCCCAATTCATGATACTGATCTACTGTTGCCACAGTACTGAAGCACCAGTAATGCTGTTGAGATCATCATTGCATTGGGCTAGCCACATGCCTGCTTAGAAGAAGTCCATTCTTCACAGATGCTTGCCCCAAGTTCATGCTACTGATCTAATGTTGAGCCTGCTTGTATCACTATCATTTTTCAAACCCTTCCACCGTCTTCAAGGCTACTTAGGACATTACTGTACTAGTGATCACAATGCATTGTTATAGTATGTTGTATCTTATTGAGAATTGAAAACAGTAAGTACAACTTAAGATAAAGAGGGATTTTATCAGGCTTTGGAGTCGTCTGTTTTAGTCATGGAACAAGAGGCTCCACACTGGGACAACACCAGTATTTGCTCCAAAACCAGACATATTGTAAACACCATAACTTGGTCAAAATAGAGTGCTACATGACTCTGTTTTGCATCACATCCCCTCCTTGACGCCAATAGGGAGGACTGTATCCTTAGATTATACTAATCTATCATATAATGGACCCAACACAGACAAAATAGTACCAGTATTTGCTGGCAAGGGTCCAAAATCAATATGAGCAACATATCACTGTGAAAAAAAAATATTTCCACCATCAATTTAGCTTGTTCACATATCCCCCATGGCACCAATAGACAGGACTGTATCTTGCTATGAAGCTCATCTGTGATATTTTGCAAAAAATGATATCCTAACAGTGCAAATACTAGTAATTGGCCAGGAACCCAAAACACTGTGAGGGCCATAACTTTGTCAAAAATGAGGGTTAGATTATTTTATTTAACATCACATACCCCCCTTGGCACCAATAAAGAGGACTGCTGCAACTGTAGCTTGCTACAAACCCCATCCCTGATGCTTTGGAAAAAATACTACTCTGACAGAATAAATACTAGTATCTACCAAGGACCCAGCAAAACACTATGAGCACCATAACTTTGTCAAAAAATGGAGATAGGGGATTATAGTACTTAGCATCACATACCTCCCATGGCACCAAGAATAGATAGGAATGTATCTTGCCATGAAGCTCATATAGTTAGTTATGTTTATCTAAATCACTTATTATTCAATCTGTATGGGATCAGTATTAGCACAGTGCATTGGATACTCTACAGTATGTGTATTTTACTGACTTATCATATGTGCCTACTTATGTACATGCGTATGTACTTACATTACAGAGTACAGTTGTCTATCCTTCTTCTGCCTGGCACTTACCCCCTGTGCACAACCCACTTCTTTCTGACCCATCTCTCCACAATTTTCCATGTTGTTAAGTACTACTAAGTGGGAACCATATTTCAAGGAGGATCAAATTTGATATGGTGCCTCTTTTCTTTAAACCTAGTATATTTCTCCACAATCTGACACACCTTCTGACTTCTTTTTTAATTAGTTACATGTAGTTTTTCTTTAAGTTTTAACCATCTACTCAGGATTTTCAGGGTCCTTCTGGTCGTGAACAACAAAATGGTTGAGTCTTGCCCTTTGCGTGGGTGCCAAAAACAGGAGGAATCTTTTCCAACCTGCTGGGGTAGGAAGGCAAATGAGGCCAAGACAGGTCCGGAGTTGGTACAAATTGCAGGTGGCTCTGCAGAGGGAATAATAGGTTTCATTTGCCTTCCCAACTTTAACCTGTCTCACTTAAAAAAAAACAATAAGCTTTTTATATCGAAATATTTGGTAGTACTAATTTGTAGGTAGGATGCTAGTAGTACTAGTACTAGTAGTAGTAGTACAATACCACTGATATGGAAAACTCTAATTTAAAAAACACTTGTTGGTCAATTGATCTGAGACTTTCAGATCCCCTCCTTCTTATTATAATGAAGTTATTCCAGTATGTGTGTTGCCAGGAAAATGTCCCAATAGCTTTGTCAGGAGGGTGAGGCAAATCTAGTGCTGGTGTTTTTTTTCTGACTAGCAAAAACTGAGCGTTTTTAATGTACTCATAACCGATTTCAATTTCCGACAACACATTTGCCTTCCTACCTCGTACTACTGGCCAATTGGAAAAGATTATACCATTTTTGGGCACGCTCGCAATGGGTGATACTCGAACCAGTAAAATTCCACAACCAGAAGGACTCTCCAAACTCTGAGCACATGGCTGAAAACTTGAAGGAAAACTACGTGTAACTATTAAAAAAAGAAGTGGGATGGTCCATCGGATTGTGGAGAAATACAGGTTTAAAAAAAGGGGCGTATCAAATTTCATGATGCACATGAGGTTCCCACTTACTTAACAGGGAAAAAAATGGAGAACCGGATTAGAAAGAGATGGCTTGCGCGCAGGGGGCACATGCTGGGCGGAAAAAGGACAGACGTGGGGGGGAAATGTACCGGTACCGTATGTACGGTACATACCGTAT